ATATTTTTCTGAAAATGCCAAAAAGATGGCATAATTACTCTTCAATATGCCAACATTTTCATTGATTATGCCATCATTATGGCATTATTTAAAATGTTGGCATATTTTTGTCCGGTGATGGGAGATGGTGGTGTTGGGGGTGGAAGGGGGTGGTAATGTGTTTTTTTTAATTTTATGATTTTTTTTATTTTTTTTTTTATTTTTTTTAAAAATTTTTTTTTTATTTTTTTAAAAAAATATTTTTATTAATTTTCTATTATTTTTTTACGATTTTTAGTATTTTTTTTCGATTTTTATTAATTTTTTTATGATTTTATTATTAATTAAAACATTTCACAAGTTACAAGGGTATATTTGTCCAAACACACATAAATAGTCCTATTAAGGGAATTTAAAAAATGTAGTCCTATTTATGCAATTTTTCCACTTTTTAGTCCTATTTAGGGAATTGACTCATTTTTTTACTGTTTCCATTAGTTTTTACGCTTTTTCCTTCTGTAAGTTTTTCTTTTTCTTTCTAGTTTCCCCTCCTTTCTTTATACTTGTGTCTTTTCCTCTTCTCTCCGGCAGATCCAGATCCCCTTCTTCTTCCGATCCCCATTCTTCTTCTCCTTTTCTTTTTTCTTCTTTCTTGTTTCTTTCTTTGTTTTCTCAACTCTCAGTCCCTCCTTGCCCTTGTTTTGGTCTCCATCACCTAACATAGATGGGTATGAGACTGCCTGGGAGGCTTTGGCTATGGAAGTATACGGAGGTAGGAGCGGCGGATCGGAGATGGTGGGTACGGACGTCGACGTGGCGGAGGTCGTGGGTGTGGAGGTAAGGACGCTGACTCGCCGGAATTGGTGTGTTTAATGTTACGGCGGCGGAGGTGGTGGACATGGGGTTAACAGCGGCAAGACGGTAAAAGTGGTGGGTATGGATGTAGCCAGGTAGGGGCGGCAGAGGTGGTGGGTGTGGAGGTAGAGGCGGCGGAGTTGATGGGTATGGAGGTAGGGGTGGCGGAGGTCGCGGCGGTGGAGATGGATCTGCAATCAGAGATGGAGGCTGTCAGCCGGTGGTGGAGGTCGATCTGCCAGAGAAGAAAGAAAGGTCAGGAAATGTGGATAGGGTCATCCCGGAGAAGAAAGAATGCACTGGGAGACAAAGAAAGAGAAAAGGAAAGATTAGAAAGATTAAAAAATAAAAGAAAATTATAAAAGAAAATGCCAAATGGACATTTATGGACAACCACGTCACCTGTCAACCGGGAAACCGGATCACTACCTGCAAAATAGCTAATTTGACCAACTTTTTACACGGACCTAATTGATTCATTTAAAAGTAGTAGGACTTGATTGACTTTTTTGCAAAAGTACAAGGACCTATTTGACAGTTTTCCCAAAAAAAAAAGTAAAAAATGACATTTGGATGCCATGTCAGCACACTTACCGGTTAACCGGGAATCAACCGGCTAGATTAGGAAATTGAACTTTTTTTTGTATAGTTCATGGACTTAATTGAGCGTTTCTTCAGTTCGAGGGCTTAATTGATTTTTTCGGTATACTTCGAAGGCCTATTTGACAGTTTTCCCTTTCACGAATGAAAATTGATCAAACTATTAGACCATTTGTAGTGGTCAAGAGTCCAAATAGTTAAATTTGGATTCCGTCAATATGAAAACAGTGTTTACACTCCGTCAATACCCTTTTCCCCTGCATTCGTGCACTGTCAATAAAATACACTCTGCATATTTTTTACATATGAATTTAGTAAAACATTAATTAAATTATTATAAGTAATGTTTTTACTTTTAATTTTCCCCCTGAATAATTATGCAATAAAAAAATACACATTTTGATGTAAAAATAAACAATTTTCATAATTTTTTTAAACATTTTTCGGTTAAAAAATGAATTAGTTTAAGTGAAGTTCGATTATAGATTATTCAGTTATTTGTGAAGGCTCCATGAATTAAAAATTTGTGTTTCGTTTTTTTAACTCAAGAAACTGCAAGTCTGCAACAATTAAAATTTCTAAAAAAAATCATTTTATATATGACATATGAATGTCATATGAAAGATCATAAAAATTAATGAATTTTGATATAGTTTTGGAAAAATTTAGATGACAAATAAAAAAGTTATGCAAGTGTTAAAAAATTGGGATATAATGATGCAAGGGTTATGCCAGTGTGACATCATCCTTTCTTTTTCTTTTTTCTTTATTTTTTTCCTTTTATCCACTCCTCTAAACTCACCCTCTATATTTAACACCCTCCATCCCCTTTCCCACTTTTCCTACCCCTTTTAAACCACCACTACACACAATTAGGAGTCCAAAAATTCCACATTTAGCATTTTGGACTCCTAATACCTCCCCACTCCAAATGGTCTTAGAGGCAGTAACATAGTTTTTCAGGGCACAAGTTACATTTTCCGCTCACTGAAGTTACATGTGTAATTATTTGAGTTACATTTCATTACAAAGGATTTACATCACAAAATAATTGGGGGGAAATTCCCAGTCAATGACTCACTATTCACCAGCTTTTTTTTATATTTTTTTTTATGTATTTGACAAGTTACATTTAGACTGGACTTGAGTTACATAAATCAATAACGTGGGTTACATTTGTTTACACGCGAGTTACATCATTAATGCTATTGGAATACAAAGAAAAAAAGAACAATTACTATTCACGTGTGTATTGTTCATCACGCGTAATTTTTTAAAAAATATTGTGCAAAACTACGTCGTATTGGGTGGGAAACATGGTGCTCACCGTGAGATGATTCCACAGAATTCGAACTCGACGGAGAGAGTAATAGTAGAGTGTTCCATGTGACTATGTATATATCAATACCAGTAGACGAAGCTTAGGTCAAAAGAAATGATATAAAAAATACTAGGGGTTATGTCTAAAATATTACTCCCTCCGCCCCGCTATGATTGTCTCATTTTATCATTTTGGTCCGTCCCACTAAGATCGTCCCATACCTAATACTCCCTCCGTCCCGCTATGATTGTCCTATTTTACCATTTCGGTCCGTCCCACTAAGATTGTCCCATACCTTATTTGGTAAAGTTTGTGTGGTTCTAAATTATTTCTACTTTATTTTTACTTTATCAATTCAATATCAACCACATAAACCCACTTTTATTAATAACTGTGTCACCCTCTCTTGTCCCAAACTTAAGGGGACGGAGGTAGTACCTTATTTGGTAAAGTTTGTGTCATTCTAAATCATTCATACTTTATTCTTACTTTATCAATTCAATATCAACCACATAAACCCACTTTTATTAATAACCGTGCCACAATCTCTTGTCCCAAACATGGGGGGGGGGGGGGGGGGGGGGGGCAGAGGTAGTATTAAAAAAAGAGCTATGGACAAAAAGGGTCCTTTTTCTCTATTTTCCAAAAATGAGACTAAAAATAGGTTAGGGGACTATTATACCCTTATATTAATAGAATCTCATCCATTAGTGCTACAGTAACGCCAGTGACGAATAACATTATAGTGACCAAAATTCGCTAGTGACCAAACATCATTTGGGTGCAAAAATCCAAAAAATCCGTGAGTGACAAAAAATTCTACCTAGTTACCAACGTCAACCCGTCCGGTGACCAACATCCGCCAGTCCAGTTACCCTAACCCGATCGTTCAATTACAGTTACCCGACCTGTCCAATTACAGTTACAGTTATCATATATGACTTTTTTATCCTTCACAGTTACAATTTCATAATTCAATCAGTTACAGTTACATAACTCGATCAGTTATAGTCATCTAACACAACCAGTTACATGACAGTTATCCGACCCGATCAGTTAAAGTTATCCGATCCGATATATTAAATTATCCGAACCATCCAGTTACAATTACAGTTATCGAAACTGTCCAATTACCATTACAATTATCCGAACCGTCTGATTACAATTACCCAAACCGGCCCGTTACAGTTACCATGTCCGGTAGTGACCAATGCTAGTAACCGCTGCCGACTACGCCACCGCCAGTAACCACCGCCGGCCGGCGCCGGCGCTACCCAACAGTCTCGTCAGTGACCACCAGCCCCTCCCCTCTCCAGCCACAGGCCCTTCCCATCCCGTCTCCAGCCCCAACCGCAACCCTTCACGAAGGGGTAATGGATCAAAGTTATGCCGCCGACCTTCATGAAGTTGACTAAAAGGGGAAAATCGACCTTCGGAGGTCGACCTGCGAGGGGCGTCGGCCAGTAAGGGTGCATCGACCAAGGAGAAGTCGACCCGCGGGGGACTGACGTCGACCAAGAAGAAGTCAATAAAGTTACTAGGGGCTTGTTCGGCCTTCAAGAGGTTGACCTATTAGCATTCTGTTAGCCAACTCAGTCGTATTAACTTGTTAATCTAATGGCCTGGGTGTACTCAATCAATACTAAAACTCCAAATTTGTGTACTTAAAAAGATCAAATGCAAGTACTCTTTACTCCATCTCATACAATCCGGATTAAACTAACAACAATTTGTTAAATTAAAGGCTAATTAAATGAAGATCAGATTTGGTCACTTAGATCGATACATTAAATTCTTCAATTCTTCAATCGTTGAAAGAAAATAAGGAACTTCACAATTACGATTAGATTTTCAGAAGAATACATATAAATATATAATTCATATGATGAGCGCATATGTTTATAATACTCCGTAATAATAATTTGTTGAAGGCTAAATGAAGATCATGATATCAGGAAATAAACTGAGGAAATAAATCGTGATCATATTCATATTTCAACATTAAAAAACAAAATGTTTTGACAGTTTTCCCTTTTGTTTTTTTTAAAAAGGGACTTGATCCACTGGGAACCGCCCCAAATCGCGACGACTAGAGTCTCCTATAAAATGATGGAAAAAGTCCTGATCATTTTAAAAAACCGTACTTGGGAGAATGAGGAAATATTCACATTCATATTCAAATAGATTTATAGAGAAATTCTCCATCAATTAATAACGAACTCCTTAATCATTAAAGATAACTGTACTCGGAATTAATAATAATGATGGAACAAGTTAGTTCTGTACAAGAATAAAAAAATCTGCTTGCGTAAGCACTAATTAAGCACTGCCGGTCACCTACGCTACTGGAATCAAGAATCACAGACAGAAATCTTGCGGCGGCAGAGAGGGCAAGAGAGGTTTCTTCGCAACCAAGTCAAAAGACAGTCCATATGAAACGAAGAATGGTTGCAAGGCATGACCGGCACCTCCGCCCCCGACGGCACTCCGTCGAGACAAATGGCGCAAGCCACCTCCCCGCCACCGCACTCATCCACTCTCTTCCTCTTCAGCGACAGTTGGATCACTTCCGGTGCCAGATAAACTGCCTCCGCCTCCGCGGCATGATCAGGTAAGGCGCCCGCATCATCCTCATCGTAGGCGGTGGTGCGTATGTCGACCCGAAAGCTCGGCCCGGGCTGGGCGACCCGAGCAATGACGGCATCAGCGATGGAGTTGATGATGGCTTCGTCTTCAATGGGCCACAGGTATGTAGACGATAACTCCTCCCGGAAGAAGTCATGACGGTGCTCCTCCGGCGCGTGCACCAAATCGCTGAAAACACACATGGTGTGTGAGTCCTCGAATGACTCGAGACCGACAATCTCATACGTAAAATGGACATGGCGATGACTCATCGAATCCTCGTCGCCGCATGTCACCGTCGAAGCTGCGTCGTGCTCCAACGTAAAAGTGGTGGAGTATAGATGCTCTTCCATTGTCTCTAATCTGATTATGTGATTATGCGCTCTATAATGATGCCGCAATAATTAATTAACCATTTGCTTCAGCTTCCATTTTATTTATAGACTTCTCCTAAAATTTTAGTTTCCTAATTCGGATAAAATGAATCCCAGCCGACTCAAAACCCTTTTCCCAAGTTTCCTAATTCCAGAGTATTTCATTCACGGACTAGCCTCCCGTCAGATTTCCCAAGATTTCCCAAAATTAAAGAATTCGATCATTCAATTAAGGTTCCAATTAAAAAACATGTTTTAGCTTAATTAGGATGTTTTGAATTTGACAAAAATTATCTTGTATTGTCTTATTTGATCGGCCCTGATCTAATATGAAAAAATGTATGGCGCAAGTGTATTTTATTATTGAAGTTTGCGCTGGTCTGATCTAGTCGGATGTATTTACTACAATATAATATTACTCCGTATAAAATATTGACCACGTTAAAAATAAAGTACGGAGTATATTAAAATCGATTTGGTAAAATGAGTAAATAAGTCCTTTTAGAATTTACACTTTATCCCTAACTCAAAAAATCAATACTCCTTATGTCGTATTAGTAATTTACATTTGCTTTAAAAAATTGATCAATTTGTCCTTATATCGGTTTTTGACATGTAATAGCGTGATTTTTATATTAAAACAATTTGAAATTTGTTATAAGAGTTTTTTACAAGAATATTACTAAAATAAAACTTATTTACATACATATGACTATTCATTACTACAACGTGGTGTTGTGGTAACTTAAGTTCAAAACTTGAGTTACTATGATTTCAAAACTACTCTAGTAACTAGTCATATTTTTGTAAATCATCTTTATTCTAATCATATTTATGTAATTAGAAGAAATACAAATAAAAAGTGTGGATGAAATAAGAATGTCAAAGTCTATACTTTTATATTTTAAAATTATTTGTACATTAAACATCTTTTCTAAAGCTATTACAATTTAATTTTATAATTTCTACACTTTGCTAGCTTTCACTTCATTTTTTTCCTATTTTTCTAAGCTGTTTTTTAATTTTATTTTAACGTGTTAAAAGTATTTATCTAATTTTGAACTATACTATTTTGTATACTATTATTACATTACTTTTCGAATTTACATAGCTATGTAGTAATACCTCGGAGTCCGAATTAATTGGGAAAGTTCCCAAAATAAGATTAAAACAGTTTGAAAATTCCAAAATAGGACTGTCAATCTGTCATGTTTTTTATTCCCGAGTAATTATATTACTGCCAAGTTTGGAAAATACTGTCATGTTTGAAGTATGGTGCTGACAAAACATGACAGTAATTAATCCTATTTTGAGATAAAAACATGGCAATACTATTTTTGGAGTTTTCAAACCTTTTTTGTCCCATTTCGGATAATATCTCGAACTAATTTCATTTTCATAAAATGTTGGTACGTAACTTCCGAGTGGAGTGGTAAAATTACAAAACAATTTGAGTCCTTTTTGGTAAAAGCCAGTTTTTGTCTTTTCAACCTAGCTTATCGACTAACTTTTACACCAAGCACGTAATTTTTGATGACTAAAATAATTACATATTTGTTGGGTTAATGGCCCAACATTGGGGCCAGCCCATTCACCCCCCCGACCAGACGAACGTCTTCCCTGGCGGGGCAGCCCACTCAGGCGAACGTCCGTACAAAGACAGGTGGATCAAACCCACAGACAATCGCAGCAATCGCCTTCGGAAGCCACTAGCACTTGGAACCAGCCCAATCCATGTGACAAATCATCTAAGGGCCAGGATACGAACGGCCCATTACCCTTTGCAATATCACCAGGAGCAACTCCCTTTCCCTACTGAACGTCCGTCTCCACGGGTTAGGCGGGAAATCTAGATTCTGGCGGGAAACACATTTAATGCTGGAGATTTGGTGGTTGGGACATCAGCCACACATCGCCTTCCACACATACTGCCCATTGGTAGTATAAATAGCAACATTTATTTCATTGTAAAGGGTTGAGAACTTACTATTCTTAGCTTTATAGCTTATACTTCTCTTACTCGCACCTCTTCTACTGCCTTGTAAGACGAACGGTCGTCGAGCCTTAGCAAGCGTACTGTATTGGGGGATTAATAATACCTAATCTCTTACTTTCTACATACTGTTTCTCGATCCATCTTAATTGTTTGTTGGGCTAGTTCATTCATACACCACTCCACTCGAAATCCTTGGGCTTATGTGTTGGACCCGAGGCTTGAAGGAATAAACCTCAACAATATTAGAGCATGATTAGTGATGTTGATTATTTTGGACTATTTATGTTATGCTGTTTTGATATAATTACATATTTATGACTAAAATAAAGATTGTTTACAAAAATGTGACTAATGATTAGAGTAGTAATGGAATTAGCTTATATTCAACTTTTAAACTTAAGTTACCATATTTGTGTAAATAAGTTTCATTTTAGTAATACTTTTGGAAAGAATCCTATTTTTTTTTACCGTGTGTTGTTGTAGTAATTGCACAATTACAGTGCAATCCTTTATTTTCTTAGTTTAGTGTAATTTGATCTTCTTAGATAGATATCTCCTCAACAAGAATCAATCAAGCTAGATCAACAAATGATAAGGAAGAAAGCTCTTACAAATTAAAGAGCAAGGAAGGTCAAATTAAAGAGCAAGGAGGGTGCAAGGGAGCTGAGCAAACATTGATAGAAAAGTCAGAGTTTAATCACATACCCGGTCAGGTTAAGTAATACCAGTCAGGTATATATGATCAACGAATATAGACATATCCGGTCAGGTTAAGTAATACCAGTCAGGTATCAAAGAAAATCAACGAATACATTTTAACGTGCAAATAAACGAAGACATGGGAAATCAGATTTTCGTCTTGTATCCGATCGGGTATATAGACATATCCGGTCGGGTATGACAGAAAATATGACCTTCCGAGCTATGGTCAAGGATATATGGTCTTGTATCACTCATACCCGGTCAGGTATCAACAATGCTCGGTCGGGTATCCGAATTGAACCTGCAGCCTTCAAACACCCAGCTATGATTACACTCATTTTCCTTCTCATTTGGACACTCATTACCTGATGTACTTAAGATCAAATTAGATAAGCGTTTTTCATATATTTCTTTGCTTATTTAGACTTTAATGAGGAGCTAAAAGTTCTGTTATCACTACTACTAAATCATTTAATTAATCCACGTTCGCTTGGTGCATCACGATTATTCACTCGGTGCACCACTGCTATTTATTTTAATCAAGCCAACTCATTTGGAGAAAGGGGGCGCCGGGGTGAGAAAGAATCTTTTTTTAAGTGCTATAAGTTTTTTGTACTCTATTTTTTATAAAAATATATCATAATTTATACAGTATCTTTTTACTATCTTTCATATAACACAAATGATGCATATATATAAATATAAAAAAATCTATAGTCAAAATTGATTTATAAATCAGTGATATATCTTCTTTAAATTTTCATTTGTAAAAATATTGAATACTAAAGACTAAATTCTAAATCCGCCACCAGAAAGATTCATATGGGATCATACCAAATTAAGCAGATCATAAAAAATTCAGATCAGACCGGACCAAATTTTAAACATTTCAGATCATAAATATTAATATCAGATGAATAGGACAACTTAATATAAACCATATTGATGGAGTATAATTCTCAGAATAAATACGATATTAATTCAGTTCAATTTCTAAAAATATTGTACAACATCAAATTCTTTAAATAATGAGACCCAAATACACATAATAGGATTCTAATTATACAAAATTAATATTACAATTTGGAGTGAGGCTCTAAAGCACAACCATTTTAATTAAAAACAATGGAATTTTAGTTCACGTGAATGGGGTTCTAATTGTACTACACCAATAATATACGTGATTATCTAAAACAATGTAAACTCCACAAACTCCCAATTCCAATTTAACACTTCTTATTATCATCACTAATCACATAATCAGCCCTATAAATAATTAATACTCCAAAAACAACAATATAATCACAAATAATTCATACTCCAAAAGATGATGATTCCTTGCCCGTATGCCATGATGGTGGTTAGTTCGTAAAAGAAATCGATTATAGCCAAACTCTTGATCATATCATATGAATAGTTCACAATGTTTATTGATATTTCTGACCTGAACTCATGTGAAATTAACACTATCGGGGCATGCCCGGGTGTTAGTTACACTAGTTCCGTGTATGAGTAAACTATTTGTTTCCTTGAAAACGGACTTTCATGCATGTTTAACTGCTTGTGTTAAAATGTAAATGAAGCGCTTGATTTGATTTTTTTTGTTTAACTTGAATGGTGTTTTTTTATTACTCCAGAGGGGTCTGGGGTCTGGGGGCTGGGAGGAGCCTGTGTCTAGCGGGTTTTGAACTCGAGTCCTCTCGCTAGACACGGTAACCTCATAACCAGTTGGGCTGGAATGGTACATATGCGACATTCATTTTGTTTTTAATGTTGAAAGATGAATATGATCAGGGCTTGTCCTTAGAAATGAGAACCATGTAAAGGTTTTTTCCCAATACATTTTAATTAAAAATTAACATTCTCATGACCAAATAATCAAACTTCAAGTTGGATTATAAAATTAAAAACTAATAACTCAATCATATGAATTTGATAATTTATTAAGTTCAATTATGAAAACCTAATTACTTAATTAACAAAAGGTCCAAATTAAAAGCTCCAAATTAAAAGGAAATAAGATAATAACTACTCTCTTCTTTGTCCCTAGAGAGAGAAGCTCTCTTAGCAGAATCGCTCCTTGACGAGGTCGATAGCGGACCGGCGTTCTTTAATTTATGAAAATAATTACGTAGTACTATATATATAAATGTTTATTAATACGTACTCCGTACTTTAAAAAAAATGTACTCCGTAGTACGTAGTATTAAATTTATCACTGTAGTTGAACACGAAATTTATCACTGTAGTTGAACACGTTGACTCGCATGGACCCGGGTTAACCCATGACCCTATCGACTGGGCAATTTGCCGTTT